GTAAAAAAGTGTAGGCTTTAAATTAAGAAGAAAAACACATACTATCAAGATCGTACATATTAACACTGGAATCTCGATCTCTTATGGCACCATTGTGTGCTATTTTCAGGCAATATTTTAATTTGTAGGTAGTTAGATCCTATATAATGTTCTGACAAAGTATTTTCACAAAAGCAGCTTTTTGCAATGGAGTTATAACATAAAAGCCACTCAAGTTATTACTTCAATTGCTAGACTCAAGATGGCAGAAAAAGGGGCTGGATTTAAATGCAAGTATGAATGACAAATCTACTAAAAAACTGCCATTAGATACAAATGGAAAGTTCAGTTATGCTGTCATTGATAATTACAAGTCTTTGTAAAAGAAACTCTTCAAATTCACAATAAAAGCACTCATGCTACACAAGAATATTTACACATTCTCAAGCATTTGCTTACAGCTTTAAAAATGTAATGTTCAACAAGCACTAAAACTTTAGAACAAAACATTTTCTAAACTGTAATGTTTATTAAGATAAGAATGATGTAATGATTCAACCTAGGTGATGCAAACACCTGACTGGGATGCCTCCATAGTGTCAGAGTCAGGTTTTTCAGTATGTTACCCCCACCTCTGGAATTTATTCGAGCTTTTCAGAAGAGCAGCCCAGGAAACACAGAAGCTAACACAACTATGTCAGCTGGAACCAGAGTGCTGAACTGCCTTTCCTCCAGTATCCAACCTCAGCAGATCTACAAGCCTAAAGACCGAATATTAAAAGAACAGCCAAGGTTAACCTACCACAGCACAAGGGCCAAACTCCCACCCTGCTGCTCACTCCCTCCCCCTCCTCAAAAGGACAGGGGGAAACAGGATGAGAAAAAAGTTCAAGGGTCATGATAAAGACAAGGAGATTGCTTACTAATTACCACTGCAGTCAAATCAGACTCAACTTGGGGAAAATTAATGTCATGTACTGTCAATTAAAATAGACTCAGGTAGTGAGAAACAGAGACAAACATTAAAACAAGGACTTTTCTCCCCTCTCTCCCACGCCAAAGTTTATTCCTTCACTCCAGACTTCTCTGCCTCCCTCTCTGAGCAGCGCAGGGGGCCAAGAACAGGGGCAGCTATGGTCAATCTTAACAGCTCCTCTGTGGCTCCTGCCCACTCACATATTCCCTCTGCTTCAGCATAGGCTCTCTTCTGTGGGCTGCACTCCTTCAGGAAAGATAAAAGGAGTAGCCTCTTTCCTTTTGGTAGCCTCTTTCCCCCTTTTGTCCCATTTCAAATTTCTCAGGAGCAATCCTCCTCTATCCAGTACTGAGTATAACACAAATCTGATACAGGTCTGCAGGTCTGAACCACAACACTAAGATTTATCTTCTGATTTCAAGAAATGAAAAATTAAAACAACAATCCTCAAAAAAGGAGATTCAGTACTGCCAGTAAATTCACAATTTAAGTTCACTACATGGCTATAACTGAAATTACCAAAACACAGCATAGCATTACTGCAGAAATGTTTGTGCATTAGTGTAAACACAGTGAAATGCTCATAAATAAAATATAATGCAATTTGAATTAATAAAAGTTTGTTTTACGTTATAAAACAATTGTAGAGCTAATATTACAACTTACATGAACTACAGAAAACGTTTAGGCTTTCTACAGTTTAATCACCATTAATGGCACAAAGGAAATTATTTACTATCGAGAAAGTCAGAGAACACATAAAGAAGGTCCTTGTTGCATTGATTTTGCACATAAAATTAACTTCTTCAGTTGCATTTCAATTGTCATGAAGGCTTGAATAGTATTAACTCCCCCTATTATAGAGCCTCAAGGAACAGCCACACAGTCAAGATGTCAAACATTTTTAAAGGATGAAACAAAACTTGACTGCTTCATGGGCTTGACTAGTAAGTGATTAAAGCGTAACTCTGACTAAACTGAATTTGTGCCAGTGTCAACATAAAACTTTTTTAAAAAGTCAGTGTTATGAATTATTTACTGTTTTCTCAAAGCTCAGTATGAATGCATCAATTCATTCTCATTATATACCTTCTTTATAACCCCAGCTAGAATAACATGCAGAGGGTGGCAACATGAGCCTGCAATGTAGTGAGCAACATAACAAGGCTAGGCGACCACCAAAATTATTCCATGCTTTGGAGATCTAGGAAGAGTAGCTTTAGCACAAGCACACTCCTGTGAAGTATATAACAGCTTCAGAGCACTTTGGAAAACACAGAGCAGGCCTTCATCACATAATCATTCTTGTACAGGTGACTGCTTGGACTAGCACCAACCAACCTCTGAGAAGTATGTACAAAATATGTACCACAGTATAAATAATCAGTAACACCACACAAACAATCCACACTGGAAAACTACGCTGCTTTAATATTGCAGAACTGAACCACTAAAGAAAAGATTCCTCAAAACTACATGCCTGAAAAACTGTCTTTCCACTATCTATAGTCAGAGTTCTTTGTCTCTTAGGAGCTTGTCAAAGCCACAAGTATTGGCCAAAGTCAAACCACCCCATAAAAGATAGAAGTATTTAGCCTAATTTTATGAATCTGTGAAGATATAAGAGCCATCTTTAGAAAAAGCATTCAAGGCTCATTTGGATTATCACACTATTAAGATCTTTAATTCTCAAATTCTAATAAAACAATGATTGCTCACTAGAAAGTGCTAAGAACAAAGCATAAATAGTCAGATGCTACAAAAACACTAAAATATACTCCCAAAAGCACACATAAGTAATGCTTACCAAAGTAGTAAGGTTATCAAATACATTCATTAAGAGACTTAACAAATCAGTGATGCTGTTTAAGGCTCTATTACTTCTTAATTAAGTCTAGCCATGATGCACAACAACTGTGCAAAGTCATGAAGACCTCTATACTAACATAGTGCCTGAAATTCAGCATATTTCTCTTGATTGATTTCTCTTTTGCAGCAGACACATAGAAACATCCATGTGCTAGAAAAGCATCACCAAGCACTACTAAGACAGCTGTACTGCAGAATTTAGGCCTAGATCAAATAATATTGCAAGAACTACTTTTCACAAGTGATACTGCAAGTATACTACCTGTGTCATAACGTCTATTGACATGTGCCTCTTCACTCCAGATAAGACTGAAGAAAATCATTAAAGATTATCCTCCTAATTTGTATGTTGTGGAGCAGCAACCACTACATCTTTTTAAGAAGATTCCTTATATACAATCCCTTTCTTTAAAAGTGTATTATTATCATTTCACTGAAATGTAATTGATGATGACAGTTTTGTTCTACTCATTTTCCAGCTACTAAGTGTCACACTCTAGTTATGCCTCTGTTTGGCATAACAGAATAATGTTAGATCAACCTCTGTAAAACATACTGGATTTTTTGCCTTCATTTCCAAAAGATTCTATTTAAGCAGTACACTTTAGTGCCTCAACTAGCTGAAACAGTTTATTAAATGTGGTTTCTCAAACTAAATTAGTAATCAAAACCCCACAACTTCAATCAGAAGCTTTGGAATAGAACAGAAATCACTAATCATTTATTCCTTACTCTGAAAAATGGTGAATTTAAATAATATGTACATATTAAAACTAAAAATTAATGCAAACCTGAAATACTGCAGTAACTTAAAACATAGCGGTTCTATAGAAAGGTAGTTTTTCAAGCTCCTGAGAGTGTTAAAATTTCCAAACCATGATTACAAAGGATAACATAAAGTAGTACTTCTTTACTATAAAGCAGCTATTATCCTTAATGCTTAATCTGGGTTAAATTAGAGTTATATACAAAATAGTGTGTGTTGGTAATAAAAATTTCCCGATTTTTCCTCAAACTGAAAAGTCAGGTAGCCTACTCATTACAGTTTCTACAGGTTTTTAGACTTCTTCAGCTACTTACACAACAGGCAAATTTCAGAAGTCCATGAAGCTTCTCAAAAGTATTTTAAATAGATGCAGATAAACTGTGTACTTAACCACATTTCTATAGAATATATTCATTGTTTTTAAATCCCACGCAAGTGTTATCAGCTTTCAGCAAGAACATCATGCATCAACTGAAATAAGGATGTCTCTAGCTGCAGTTGTATTAAAGAGTTCTAATGGAAACGTTCACATAAGAGTACCACAATTTTCACTGCACATAAATAATTCCACAAACTCCAGCTATATTCAAAATTAAGAAATTAGAAAATTAGCAAACTGGCAACTTCTTAAAGGTATGCATTTTTGCTGTTTGTTTATGAAACACTCATGGTCAACCTGGATATTAATGTGACATAGCAATATCAGGCTTTCAAAACATTTTTAAAAAAATAATCCAAACTGCCTTTAAGTTATTCAGTGCCATATTTTCTAGGACTAAAATTCTGTGCATATACATGATCACCAACATTTAAACCCTGTGAAGAGTGATCGTAATATTGTAAAACAAGCAATTCCTAAGTTGATCACCAAATTACAGAACAACAGAACAAACTCCACATATTTACCATAGTATTTACCATTGGTGTCCAAACTAGATATGATACCTCAAACATTCATACAATGAAGACTTTATTTTTGCTGACATTTTCTGACCTACCTTCATTTCAGTTCTAATGAGAGAAAAAAAAAAAAAGAACCCACAAATCATTAATTTACTTGTCTCAATAAAAAGCTGTTGGAAAATGGGGGAGAAAAGATTAATATGAAGAGAAAGCAGCTGAGGCTAACATTTTGAATGAAAAGTCATGTTACTCTCTGTGGGTAACAACTTTAAAATCTTCTAGCAGAAATTTCTTTACAATGAACATCACATGCTGAATTGTATTTAAAATTAATGAACTCTTGGTGCATAATGAACATTTAAGTGCTGCCAGCATTTTTGATAGGGTTTCTGGTATTCTTCAGATGAAAGTAGATAAATTTAAAAATCCAAAAGGCTACTCTACTGCTCTAGAGTGTCAATAAACAGTGCAACAAAAGTTGCAAAATTCAGATTTTATCAGACTTACCGCCAGTGCTTTAGATAACTTTGTTCTATAGTTATTCAAAACAATTGCGTCAATGTCCTTAAGTGGCACAAATGCAAAGCCATCTTTAATGAACACTCTTCTGGCTCTAAATAGATCCACAGCATCCGCAAGTCCAACCTGAGGAAGAAGAAAAACCCACATTGTGGAATAACAAAATAAAGCCTAAGATTCAGGATGGACCAGCAAAGCTTTAAGTCATCTTCTGTTTTTTAACAAAGCTCTATCCAGGCAAAACACAAAGATTTGGAAATGAAATGTTAGCTTTGAAATAGCTGATTCTTATTTTGGTGTAAAAATATTGTTTACTTACAGAAAGTCATGCAACTAGGCAAAATAAGCTACTGTAAAGTTTGCATACATGATTATTCGCCCAATTATATAGCTTTGCATTGCTTACTGATTTGAAATTTGAAAATGGACTGCTGTTGGACTTCTGTTTCAGACATCCTGAAATATCTGATCCATGCAAGCTACATATAAAAGGTCTTGGAAACATCTGCAACCCATCCAACTTTGCTCTAAAGAAGAATCAGTGACTACATTAGATACTTCTTTTCTCTCCCCTTGCTTTCTTACAAAAAGAATTTCAGACTAATACAATCAGACCAAACCTAGTTTCAGCAACAGATGTTTGAGAACATCTCCATTCTGAACGGTCTGTCAGCCAGGCAAGTTAAGTCATCTGTCTGCGACACGTTAAGACCGTTTTTGTGGCAAAAGACAAGGGGTGGCAGAAGAGGCCAGAGACAATAACAGCAGGTTTAAAGCTCCCTTCATTTCCCTAGTCCCTCCCTTGTACTGACATGAAGAAGAGAAACTCTCATTAGTCTCAGCTAATTTACATACTTCGATTAAATGTTAGCAATAGTACTATGTAAACTTAAAATTAGTAACTCTCAAGTTTAACTGAAAGACAATGAATGCAAATCTGTTGAACTCAGCAATTTCTACTTACCTTATAGAACATTTGTTCTTTCAATTTAGTCATGGTGAGGCCAGGGGTTGATGTATAGAGCTCATTTACCAATTCATTTTTCAGGTCTTCACTAATCTAAAATTAAGAGCTTGTTTTAAAACTACTGAAATACTTTAGAAAAAAAGCTACTCTTTTTTTGTTAGTGAACATGAGCTAAAATATTAATTAATCTGTAAATTTATCATCAATTTAGTTGACAAGGGAAAAAAGAATTACATGTTCAACAAGGGATCACTAATTAAGCATAAACCAGCAAAACACTAGTTTTGCTTCAGAAGGAACGTTAAATAAGCAGTAATGCAGGTTTGAAAAATATAATAAACATTAACACAAGAAGTATAAAACATGCTTTTTAGAAGTCAACCTCTTCGAAATAAAACTTAGGACAATCCCTGCTCATATCTAGATTTATTGTACACACTAAACCAAAGCATGACGACAATGTCAATTAGTAAAGACTTCAAACAATTTTGTCAGATTTTAACAGAAATGTCAAGTTTCTGCTCATTTTTAAATCCAGATATCTAAAAAAAAAAAGATATCGCTTATTCATGGATTTATCTCTCTCTAAGGAGCAAAAACAATGGTATACTTACTGTTCTCTAAATGTTAGTGCTCTTCCAATTCTTGAAACAAGTTAAGCAGCAATGCTCTAATTTAACAACTTAAAGCATTTAAGCCAAAATTTTTAGCTTGAAAAATCATAGGCAATGTTACACTTCCTAATACAAAAAATTAAGTACTGCATATACCTAAATATATAAATGATGTTTTGTGACTACTCAGTAACGCACCAAATACAGCAGAAAAGCCACACTTAAAATTAGTATGTTCTAATGATTTTACTGGTCAATAAACGATTTGGGGGGTTTATTCAACAGAAAACAATTAACAAAATTTTAAATCAAATTGTTCTACTTTAAACCATGATTAAGCTCAGGCTTTAAAAGCAGAAAAAGATATAAAATTTATATCTTTATAAAAGTTATAAAAAATTTAAATCATAAATAATTCACTCATAAAAAAGATCATACATGCTGGTAATCCAGCAATGATACCTAGTAACAACTACATGCAACAACAGTCTTAAATATTTGCACAGTAAGTTCTTGATAAAGTATAACAGAAGTAGTCCCTGACTGAGACACACAGAATACCCTCCCAAAACATAAAAGGACACAGATGTCACCAATATGTAATACACACTGCTCTATGTAAACTGGGTCTGTGCTTCAATACCTATGGAGATATAATATAAGGCTGCAGTCAAAATAGCTTTTACAGACTAATCAGGAACCAAGCCAAGGTTATCACATGCAGTAGATACCCAGATTCCAAACCCGAGATAAGACACTCTGTGTCCTTCCTCTCCATGGAAAGTGATGTGCACAAGCAGTTCAGTTCCTTCTCTGAATAAGGAAGAGTATCTAATTTGTTGCAGTCAAATGGGCATTTAAACAGAGCTTTTTTTCCTTCTCAGTTGAAAAACTGAGAAAATGAAAGAAAAATAAAACACTTTTCTTGGTAGTCACAGGTAGAACCCTTTAATTTCAAACTTGGAAGATGTACTGGTTTTGGCTAGGATACAGTTCATTTTCTTCATAGTAGCTAGTATGGGGATATGCTTTGAATTTGTGCTGGAAACAGTGCTGATAATGTAGAGATGTTTCCATTATTGCTGAGCAGTGATTACACAGTCAAGGCCTTTCTCTGCTTCTCACCCCACCCCACTCGTGAGTGGGCTGGGGGTGCACAGGATCAGCACAGCTGATCCCAACTGACCAAAGGGATGTTCCGTTCCATACCATGTGATGTCATACTCAGCATGTGATGTCATGCTCAGCATGTAAAGCTGGAGAAAGGAGAAGGGAGGGACATTCAGAACAACAGCATTTGTCTTCTCAAGTAACTGTTACGCGTGATGGAGCCCTGCTGTGCTGGAGATGGCTGAACACCTGCCTGCTAGTGGGAAGCAGTGAATCGATTCCTTGTTTTGCTTTGCTTGTGTACATGGCTTTTTCTTTACCAGTTAAACAGTTTTTATCGCAACCCATGAGCTTTACTTTTTTTTTTTTCCCAATTCTCCTCCTTATCGCGCTGGGTGGAGATGAGTGAGAAAACAGCTACATGGTGCTTAGTTGCTGGCTGGGGTTAACCCACAACAGAGTAGCAGCTCAGGAAAACCTCTGTATGAAAATCATTTGATAGTTGTACATGAAATGGCCAAGGCAGCAACACCTAGAAGGCTTATGGTTACCCTGTCCACCTCTTGATGTAATTTGTAGTACTACATCTCAGGAAAATCAGCTTAAAAAATAATAATAAAGCTGTCAGCAAGGCAGAAGAATGTAACTTTGAAGACACAAGAAACACACATTACCATTATACTTCTGCATGTGAAAATCTAACGCCCAGGGAAAAACAACCTGTAAGGAAACCACCTTTTTTTTTTTTTTTTAACAAAACAGCTGCATCAAAATATTTAAATGTATTTGTGTAAATGATACAAGAAAACACTTTCTATAAAATACTCTCAGTAAGAATCTTATTTTTGTTAGGCTTTGAAAGATTCCTGCTTTCTCAAACGTGACACCCTAGAACTATATACAGATTTCATGCAGTGCTACCAAAACCCTGCTACTCCTTCCATATGATATATTTGTTTAAATAAGTATAATTCTAAGTCACCACATCAGCCTTCAAGCTTGTCTTTCACCTAGTATAAACAAAACTTTTCATTTTAATTCCAGAATAGTGACTTCCTTTCTCAAATGTAACAGTTTTATGCTTTCTCAGTAGAAACTGCTTAAGAGTCCAGTCTACCGTCATTCCAAACGCTCAATGAAACTGTCTTCAAATAAAAACAGTGCAACATACTGTATAGCTATAGTGGTTACAACTGCATTATTTCTTCTAGGATCTCTCACTAAAAACACAAACAGAGCCATGGAGATTTATATTTTTTTTAAACAGAAAGCCATTAAAACAGTCCACTGACTGTTTTACAGACAGGCTTGAAATACTGGGGGGGTGGGGGGG